CTGAGCCACCTCACCAGCCCTAAATGCCATCTTTAAGGGGGGTTATTTATATGTGTCCATGTTGTCTATCTGAAATGTAAATGTACCAGTGGGTTCTATGGTGTCTCTGACAACCCCGAGAGAAGGGAATTTTACAGTAACCTCAGTGCCTACTCTCAAGGCTCTGGTGGTCACCAGCTGGAGGCTGCCCAGTGACAGGACTGGGAAAGCCCCAGAACCTGGCCTCTGCAGCCAAGGTGGAGAGTGCTGCTGGAGAAAGGTCCTGGTTTCCCAAGACCTTGCCATACATCTCAAGACCCTCCAGCAAGGTGGGCTGGTATTGTGGGCTCAATTTGGAGAAAGGAGCACCTCCCCAATTTTGTTTTGTTTTGTTTGACCTTTACCTGTGAGGAGCTCCCTCAGGCAGCTTCCTCCCTGCATCCCAGAAGGCCTTCATGCTGGGATGAGAGATGCAAGAGCAAGCAGGGCATAGTGCTTTAGCAAGGCTGGCCAAGTGAGCACCAACCCGAATCACATTATGATGGGGAAATTTTCACCTTCGTCTTCCTGACTGAGTTTTGTGGTTCCCAGCACCCCTTGGAGGTGGCTCAGACCCATCTCTAATCCTAGCTCCAGGGGATCCAATGCCTCTGGCCTCCTTGGGTTCCTGCACTCATAAGTAAAACCACATACACATTTAATTTTAAAAAAAAAAATCATAATTTTCCATCTCAATATAGTCAGCCGTGCGGGTCAATCCCAGTAAATAATGGGCAGTGTGGGGTGTCACCAAAAGAACCCTTCCCCTCTCTCCACTCAGTGCCCGTTAGCACCCTCCCTCCAATGACCATCAGAATGCGTACAATGCGCACATCACACCCCAGGCCAGTGTGACGTCACAGGGGCTGTGCACACCAGGGCCTTGGCTGGGCTGAAAGCCTGGTCTAGCCACCATCAAACAGTTCCCACCTTTGGTACACGTTTGAGATCATTGAACCCCACACTGAACTCAGGTCTTCAGGCTTACTGACAAGCACCTAAATTGCACATCTTTTGTGTGCTTTGTTAGCTGCCAGTGAAATTCTTAAGCATTTGAGCAGGACCCTGCCAGGTGTGCTGCTGGTTTCCATCCTGTCCCTGGGTGCTAAGGACTCAATCTCTTCTGCAGTGCCTGGACCTCTGGGAGAGCACAGGGTGTGTCCACCTTAATAGCTTCTGTGTCCTGGTTGCTGGGGAACAGAGGGTATTGGAGCCCTTGAGAGAGAGGCTGCAGCAAGGCCCTGAGCTGTGTCTGCTGAGGAAGAATAACTAGAGTCCAGAGGCAAATGCAGTTCTAGTCATTGGCTCAGTAGCCCAAGGCTTCAAGAACATTTTCCCAAAGCCTGTGGAGCAGCAGGCGCAGCTGTGTGGTCTGTGGGCCTCTCCTGTGGACTGCCATATTCCATGGCAGCTAAATTGTGTGGCAACCCCTAGATGTCCTGGCCAGCAGGGTGAGCTGATTTCTGCCCAACTCACTGCACGTTAATCCTGAGCCATTCCGCTGTTCATCCATCTGCAAATCCCAGGGGCAAAGTGGCAATCCCAGGTTCTTGTGAGCTATGGGTCCCAGGAAAAGGCCATTTACATAGGGCACTTGAAGTGGGAAGCCAACAATGATTATGTGTGAAGGGTCTGATGCATCTTGATGAGTGGCTTCATCTTGGAAAGTGAGTTACATAAAAAGCGTGTGCACTGGGCATGACGACACAGCCCTGGGAGGTGAAGACAGGCAGATCAAGGTAAGCAGATCAAGGTCTACATATGAAGTTCTACACCAGCCAGAGGTTCACAGCCTATGCTGCCTCCTTGGGGGAGGAAGAGTTTGGGGAGTGGAAAGGAACTCCTGAGTCCCCCTGACAGTATATTTGTCTATAAGGGAGCTAGTGAGGTGTGCTCAACTTGTGAAAAGCTTGAACAACCTAGTGAAACCCTAGCTCAAAATAACACTTTTTTTTTTTGGGGGGGGGGGGTGAGACAGGGTTTCTCTGTGTAGCCCTGACTGTCCTAGAACTCAATCTGTAGACCAGGTTGGGTTGGTCACAGAGATCCACCTACTCTGCCTCCCCGCTCCACTACTATCCGGCTCAAAATGGCACAATTTAAAAGGAGCCTCAGTGCTTGCCTTGATGCATAAAGCCCTGGGTTCAATTCCTAGTATGTGTGTGTGTGTGTTTGTGTGTGATCTCACAAAGCACTTGAGATCGGTGCACTCTTCTGTACGTTCTCCAGTGTGATGTTGGCTAGATGCCTCATGGAAGCACATGCTGAAGGAACCACGCATCTTGTCTATGGCTGTGTCTACACCGGCACTTGCTCATCCTTAACAATAGCTTCTCCATTGCAGACTGTCAGCATTTGGGTTCCAACTACAGTGAAAAGCCACCTTCGTCCTCTTTTTAAGGTCTCTTGAAGTTAAAATATTATGAGTGGATGCCTGAATGCATGTCAGTACGCCACATTTGCTGCAGTGGTCGTGGAAGCCAGAAGAAAGTGCTGGATCCCCTGGAGCTGGAGTTACAGTTGTAAACTACCATGTGAGTGGTAGGAACTGAACCTGGGCTCTTTGCCTTCTGAGCCGTCTCTCCAGACCCCACTTTCCAGCAGTTTCTAAACCTAACCCACCTGGTACTTTTCTCCTGCTGCTGCCAGAAATTAATTTGTGGATTTAATTCAACCTTAAATACCACAAGTACAAACTTCCAAAATTATCTTTGTGACTCTTCTGTCCCATCTTTTCATTTTTATTCTGACTGGTTCACCAAGCGGTTACAAACACTTCTTTAAAAAAAATAAAATAAAATAAAATAATTCCTTGCAATCACTAGTTCATCAAAATACCAGGGAAGCGTAGGCATAAGATTATTGTGTAATTCTACTGCTGATTTCTCAATTCAGGGTCAGGAGCCTTATCAATTGAGCTATCCAAGCCTTTCAAATGCTGATTTTTATACCTCTCATATCTGGTCGTAATCCTTGTTCAGAGAATCTCCTGTCTCAATGTTTATCCTATTTATCCCCTGACATGACAATAAAGCAGTTTACAGCAAATTGATGAACAGGGGAAAGTATAGAGCTGGACTTCCTGCCAGACAGGGGAGAAGGAGCTGGAGTAGGAAATGGAGAATTCAGTGGGAATTGTCCAGGTGACATCAGGAGAGAAGCTGGAGCAGAGAAAGCTACAAAATGCAAGTATCTCTAGGATGTACAATGGGAGGAAAGGAGAGTAGCTTATAGGGTTAAGACTAGAGTAATAACTGCTCAGTTATTGTGTTGTGAAGCTTATTATTAAACAAATATAAAGGAGTTTCAACTATTTGTGTGACAGCCAGGTTAAGAGAGAAACTGAGAAACAAAAACAATTTTATAAAATTAACCAAAGCAGGGAAGCCTGACATGGAGGCACATGCCTGTCACTGAATTCCAAAGACAGCCTGGCTGCAAATAAGACCCTATCTTAAAAGTATCTAAAGGGCTAGAAAACAAGGATATGCAGGTGCTCTGAACCAGAGCCCTGCTAGTCCCTCCACCATGCTGTTCAGTGCACCTGGTCAGTGAGTTGCAGTGTGTCCAGCACAGACTATAGAGAGAGAAACTATCAGTGTTTGCAAACTGGTGACTCTGAACCTGCAGAGGGCTTTGTGTAACTACAATGCTTTTATTCTTTAAAAAAAAAAAAAAAAAAAAAAAATTGCTGGATATGGCTACTTCAGTTACTTCCATGGTCTTTGCTTCTCTTAAGAAACAGAAGCCTAGGCCCAGAGAGATGGCTTAGGACTGGCTGCTTTTTCACGGGAATCAGCTTCAATTCCCAACACCTTTTGGGCAATCACATACTTTGCTACCTACAGAAAACAAGGTGGGCTGTCTTCTCATTAAATTGTTTTGTGCCACTGGAGATGAAGCCCAGGCCCTCCTGCCTGCTAGGCAATTGCTGACCTTCACTCCCAGCTACCTTGTTAGTTTATATTTTAACACAGGTTTCACTTATTGGCCAGGCTGAACTTGGACTCACTCTGTTGCTTAGAAAGGCCTTAAACTTGCGATCCTCCTGCCTCAGCCTTGAGTAGCTGGCAAGACAGACATGCACCAAAAGGCCTGGTGAAACTGTTTACTGTGTAAATAAACATAAAAATACCTACATAAACATATTTTTATGTTTACTATGTAAATAAATATAAAAATACGGGCAGTGGTGGGGCACATCTTTAATCCCAGCACTTGAGAGGCAGTGGTAGAGGCAAGCAGATCTCTGTGAGTTCAAGGCCAGCCTGGTCTATAGAGTGAGTTCTAAGACAATCATGGCTACCCAGAGAAACCCTGTCTAGAAAAACCAAATAATAATAATAATAAAACAATACAACAACAAAGAGCCTACCTAAAAGATGCTGGAATAAAGTAGATTGAATCAAAACAGGAAACACAAGGGTAGGAGCGAGAAGACTGGGTCTTGGACGAAATGATTCCAAAGTAGGATCACAACATAGTTAAACTAATGTCACACATGTGTAGCTCCGTGGTTCTCAGCCTTTCTAATGCTATGAGCCTTTAATACAGTTGTGGACAGTTTGGTTTGATATGTAAACATGTTTACTTCCAAGTAGGGAAGTTTGGTTTGTCCACACCTGTTAAGTGTCCGGTGTGGAGCGTGGTCTTGACCAGCTGGAATTAGCTGAATTCTGAGGACTTTGAGAGGTATAAATATGACAGCCCAGAGGAAGAAGGCGCAGTTGTTTGGAGACCTGCTTGCTGCTGGCTTGTCCTACTACTGTTTGCTGGTGACCTGGACTTCTGGATTTCCTGATACTGACACTGCCCCCAAAAGAATCCTGCGACTCTACCCAGCAGGAAGTAGCAGAGAGAACTCTGCCCCCTGTTCCCACTAACCTTCTGTCCCTCCTACCCGGTGTTGGGGGGTTGAAAGGGACTAAATAACATAGTTTGTTAAAAAGTCTAAGCCTAAAAAAAAAAAAAAAAAAAAAAAAAAAAAAAAAAAGTCTAAGCCTACATACAGTTCTTCACGATATGATGACCCCAACTATAAACATTTTTGTTGCTACTTCATAACTGTAAATTTTGCTACTGTTATGCATCATCATATAAATGTGTTTTCCAACAGTTTTAAGTTGAACGCTGTGAAAAGGCTGATTCCCAAGGGGCTGCGACCCACAGGTTGAGAACCACTGGTATAGCATAAGGCAGGCACTAAAGCTAAGTACAAGGAAAATGCTAGCAACTTCCGAGGGAGCTGACAGACCACAAAACAGCTCCTTTTATCTTGCTACACTGTCAAGTTCGCACTCTGGTGGCAGTCACAGTAAGTTCGATAATGATGATTCCCAGATAATGAAAACATTCTGCATGGTATGTATTTCTAAGGGGTATATCCTATCATTTGAAGTAGAACTAAGACTCAATATCTTTTTAAAACTTTATGGGTGCGTGCCTGGATATCTGTCTGTGCACCAAGACCCTGCCTGGTGCTAGGGAAGGCAAGGAGACAGCATCTGACCTGGGGAACCGGACTTATAGAGAGTTGTGAGCCAACACATGAGTACTGGGAGTCGAACCAGGAGCCCCCAGGAGGGCAGCAAGTGCTGAGCCATCTCTCCAACCTCCCAAAGAACAGTTTAATTAAAAATGTCGTGGGCGTAACTGTACTGCCTCTGAAAAAACCTGCATCCCAATTACAAGTATAAAATGGATGGCCCCAGGGAGCATTATGACTGGGACAGGTGGGAAACAAAAATCCTGTCACATTCCATGTCACATGTCAAAGTGCCCAAAACACATGGCTGCTCTCAGAAACAGTTTCAGCCTGTGTTCCTAAGACGCTCCTTGCAAAGAGGCCGTTTATTCAAAGTCTATGAATCCAATCTCTTCCCTTCATTATTGAAACGGTTCCAATAAACAGATCCTCAAGATATCACAACCATAAACGCAGATCACATGCTGTCCCCTCAGTACTGTGGAAATGCCACATCAATTTTGGTGGCCCAGGCCATGAGTCCCCCCACAATATCCTGAACGGTTAAAGAGTCTAGCTCTGGCACTGCCCTTAAGGACTGCAGAACCCTTACGGCTTTCTGAGAGTCATTCCCCAATTTGCAAATCACATACACAGAAAGAGCAGCCCCTTCCTTCGAATCCTGCTTCCCTTCCCGAAGGGCATCCCCTAAGAGTTTCAGGCTGTCGGCATCCCTGCGTTCCAACTGACTCAAAGGGATGTGGAGAGCGTGCGGCAGACGGCAGATGTCCACTTCCACTTGAGGCCGGACGTCCAGCAACACATGGGGCGCTCCGGAATCCAGAAGCTGCTTGTAGTCGGTCACAGAAATCCGCTCCTCCGGACTCAGGAGCTTCAAGGCTCGGCACTTGTCGGTGGCCGAGGAGCCGCAGAAGGCCTCATAGTCCTGCAGGCGGGTCACGGTGGGCTGCTGACCGCACACGGCGCAGTCGGGCCGGCGGCGCCGCAGCCGGATCCTGCGGAAATGGCCGCCAAGGCCGTCGAAGAGCAGCAGGCTGCCGCTGTAGGAGGTCCCGAGGCCGGCGGCGATCTTGAGCACCTCCAGCGCCTGCACGCAGCCGAGCACGCCGGGCACCACTCCGAGCACGCCGCCGTCGGAGCAGTTGGTCACCGTCTCGGCCGGGGGCGGCCGCGGGAACACGCAGCGGTAGCAGGGCCCGCCGTCGCAGTGGTAGACGCTCATCTGGCCCTCGAAGCGCAGCGCGCTGGCCGACACCAGCGGCCGGCCGGCCAGCACGCACGCGTCGTTCACCAGGTAGCGCGTGGGCACGTTGTCGGAGCAGTCGGCCACCACGTCGTAGCCGCGGACCAGGTCGAGCGCCCAAGCCTCGCTGAGCGAGCGCGCGTACGGCACATACTCCACCGCCGAGTTGAGGCGGCGCAGAGCGGCGGCCGCCGAGCAGGCCTTGGCGTGGCCGGCCAGCGCCTCGCCGTGCAGTACCTGGCGGGCTAGGTTGCTCGTCTCCACCACGTCGTGGTCCACCAGACCCAGTCGGCCCACGCCGGCCGCCGCCAGGTACTGAGCGAGCGGGCAGCCCAGCCCGCCCAAGCCCACCACCAGCACCGAGGCGCCCGCCAGGCGCAGCTGACCGCGCACGCCCAGCTCCGGCAGCAGCAGCTGGCGGCTGTAGCGTAGGATCTCGTCCCGCGACAGAGCGGCCTTGGGCAGAAGCGGCGGGACCGGGACCGGACGCTCGGGCTCCGGCTCAGCCGCCAGGGCTGCGCTCAACCTCCGCTTCAGGGAAGCCAGCTCTTCCTCACGCCGTGCAATTTCATCTTGTAAGGCCGCTACGTCCTCCTGGGCAGCCATGACAGCCGCTTCCGGAAGTGTCCCGGAAGTGACTTCCGTTTCCGGTTTCTCATTCCTTAGCGACTGGAAGTCTAAAACGCTTCCTAGAGCTTGAAAATGAAACTGGTGGTTGTTTTATAAGGAAACCTTCAGAATCGACTTGAAACCGTCGCAGAACATGAATATTTCCAGGGACACACATTGAGGCCTAGGAGAGCTAAGTCTCCCTCGTGCTTCGGGGATTTGGTACGATCCGCGTCATGTGACGTAGTTCCGCTTCCGGCTCCCTGTGCAGCTCCGTCATGGCCTCCTCGGGGGCGAGTCGTAGCAATACTGCGTCTCAGCGGCCGCCGCAGGGGCGCTCCTCACGACAGGACAAGTATTCGGTGCTTTTGCCCACCTACAACGAACGCGAGAACCTGCCGCTCATCGTGTGGCTGCTGGTGAAGAGCTTCTCCGAGAGGTAGAGGAAGCACCTCGCGCGGGCGCCGCAGAGCCAGCCGCGGGCTGCATGTCGGCGGTTGGCTGCGCGAGGAGATTGACCGAGGCCTCCTGGCCTCCGCTCCCCCCGGAGCCTGCTCGAAGCTTTCCCCAGCGAGGAAAGCCAAGGCGGACAGCTCCGCGTCTGTCTCCCGGGCTCTCATTCTTGCTGAGGTCTCGAGCGAGACCTGCGCTCTTGTCTCCGTCCCCCGCCTTTCTCTGGAAAGGGCTAATTTCACTTTTCCTAGGGGCAAGGCTGAAAGCTTGACCTCATCCCACTCCGGCCGGTCACGATCTGCCCCCCAGAGCCGGGAGTCCCGAGCCAGCGAGCTCACTACCGCCCCGGGGCCGAGCGCTTATGTAAGCTTGATGTTTGTGCTGTAAGGGAACTGCTGATGAGCAGGCATAGGAGAGAGCATCTTCGCCGAGTTTGGCACCGCGATTAGAAACTGAGCCTTGTTTGTTTTGAAAAAACGCGGGGCCTTGTGTAATGGAAGCAGAGTTCTACTGAGTTCCATTCCCAAGTCTTAGGAATGGGAATTTTGACATTGGAAGCATTATGCTGTTTCCGGCGGGGGGGGGGGGGGGGGACGGGACGGGACACTTGTTTGTTTTAAGGTCGCTGAAGTAAACAGTAAATTAAATGGCTCCTGTTTGCAGTACGGAGTCAGTTTTACGGCCAGGCGAATGTAATCATGCTGTGATAATCCTGAGCGATCTTTTCCTGTCAACATACAGAAACATGGTTTTGTTCTTTAGGTAGGGTGCCATAGCAGTGCCCTGTTTATTTAGACCAGTATGTCAGAGAACACATTGTTTCCGAGCTTTTTGTTTGTTGTTTGCTTTTGCTTTTCAAATGAGGATGAGGACGTTGTGTTCCTATTTTCTACCAGCTAGAAAAAGTACTCGATGCCAAGTTTGGTAGTGCGAGGGTGTAGCAGGTTCAGGTCAGCCTCTGTCTCAAACAAACAAACAAACAAAAAACCAACAACAAAGCTTGATATATAGTTTCTCCTTATAGAAAACACAACCTCACCATACTGTGATCCGTAAAAGCGGTAGGCTGCCTTGGTTGGTTGAGACAAGATTGTAGCCCTGACGGGCCTGAAACTCAGATACATCTGCCTCTGCCTCCCAAGTGCTGAGAGTAAAGGCATGCGCCACCCTCCCCCAGTTTAGGACTGCAGTTTTGATTGTCGTCTCTGAGTAAAACTGAATTTGTTTATAGTGGCCCCGCAATGTGTAGTGCATGTCTTTTTATTAGCTTTTGTCTTTCAGGTTGACTCTGCCAGCCTTTTCCAAAGTAGAGAAATCGGGGTTTGCAGATTAGTGTTTTGCTCTGTTTAGTTTATGGGCCCAAAACCTCCTACCTCACCGCTCTACTTCCCTCTTTCTGTTGTAACCAAGGCTGGCCTGGAACGCCGCAGCCTCCAGCCTCTGAAAGTTCTGGGGTATCTATTGAGTGGTTTGGGGTACTGGAGGATGAAACTCTGCCAATGAGCCGCATCCTACAGTGGATGTCCTGGAATCAAAATGAAGCTTAATAGAAATAGCTGCTTCTCAGATCTAGTTCTCAGATCTAGTTCTGCTTTGGTCCCTCAGGTGAGGTCTGTCTGATTCGAAACCAGAAAAGAAAAAAAAAGGGGGGGTGGGGGGGTCAGATTTTGCTTAAGAATGACTTCACTTCATGAGTTACCTTTTTCAAAATCAACATCTTTTGTGTTTGGACAAATTAAATACTAACCCAAAGTTAAAAAGGAGCAGAGGGAAGCTGGCCAGTACCCTTACTCTTTGTGTGTGTTGTGGGGTCAGGGTGCATGCACACACAGAGGCTGAGAAAAACCAGGTGCCTGCCTCATTGACTCTCCACTCTGAATTGTTTGAAACAGGGTCTCACTCAGCCTAAAGCTTACCCGTTAGGCTGGTGGATTCTTGAGCTGCTGTTACTTTGGGGGTTTCAACGTCCCACCCCTAGTGCTGTAATTACAGGAATGCCTAGTTGTACCCATTCTTTTGGCTGCTGGGTATCCAAACTCAGGTCCTATTGCTTGCATGGCAAGTGCTGCTGGCAAGAAGCCATCTCCCCGTCTCCACTGCGGTTACTCTTGGGCTGGGTTTTGTTTCTTTCCTGCCAAGTGTGCTGGAACTAACTTTTACAGACTTAAACGGTCTAGTGTTTCCTGGTTGATTTCCTAGGTTCAATATTCCTTTTTATGTCTTCTAATAAGAGGGTGGGGCATGATGATTATGTGTGTAGCAGGTAGGATTTTTCATGGTTTTTAGAGTAGAGACTATTGTGTGAATATAATGGAAAGTAATTTTAAGTGTCAAATTAAGTCGGATAAATTTCAGGTAATTAAATTTTCTAGTGCCATTTAAAGTGTTACTTTGCTTTGTTTATTTTGAGATGGGGTCTCTGGTATTGCAAGCAGTCTGTGAAGTCACCGTAGCTATGTAGAGAGGCCTTGAACATCCTAATCCTCCTGCCTTGTACCTTTTAAGATACTTTAAATTTTGAGATTTTTATCACCCAACATTAATATAAAATTAAATTTTATTTTAGTGCGATCAACTATGAAATTATAATCATAGATGATGGAAGCCCAGATGGGACAAGAGAAGTTGCTGAACAACTGGAAAAGATCTATGGGCCAGACAAAATTGTAAGTCGCAGACCCTTTCCTATTCTCTGTGGAGGGAAGTGTGGTAAGGAACAAAGTCTAAAAAGATGAGCAATGGCATTCCCTCTTGGGATTGAAATTATGTATCTTTGGTTTGGGGGCCAGTTTTACAGCCAAAGAGCAGGCCTCTGCCTGGCCTCTGGCTTTGTGCTGGGCGCTGCAGAATAAATTCCCTTAAATACTGAAAGGTGACACTGTTGGCAGGAGTGATACTGAGCGGATCAGCAAAGAGTTTTTGGGTTCTGTCTTTCTTGCTCCCTTCTCTGGGCTCTTGTGTATACAGTGCTGCCTGTGGCTCTGAGCTTATAGGTAGGAAAGGTGACCTGGAGGAACAGGAGTGACTCTGGGGCTTGAGGCCCTTAACTTTCTTCCTGTAGGGAGAGTGAGTGTGTGTTTGGGGCAGGTATTTCCCCGAATTTGACATTCTCAAGGTTAGGGTTAGGATTAAAGGAGGTGTTAAGGTTAGCCTGTCCTCCTGTAAGAGTGACTTGGACTTGGGCAGGTACAGAGGCAATTTTATAGTGGCTTCATGAATTTGATAATATTTTCGAAGCAGAATTGAAGCTTATGGAGTTTAAGCATGAGGGTGAGAGAGAGGTGTCTGGGCAGGAAAGCGCTCTTCCTGTTCTATAAGTTCTGAGTCCAGATCCTGGTACCCACATCAGACAGCTCATAAGTGTCTACAACCCCAGCACACATGTACACGTGCAGAGAAGGTGGAGCTGAGAGCATAGCTTTGGGCTCACTAGCACTTACTGTGAGTTGTATTTTTTTATTATTGGTTTGAGTTTATGAGTCTTTAAAAATATTTGTGAATTATGCTTTGGATAATTCTTTGGGACCAAAATCACATAGCTAAATACAGATTTAACTAGAAAACACATTCTAGCTGTGCATATGTCATTTGTGTTTACAGTTGATTGCAATTCACAGTTTCTTGGTTTGTACACATTGCTGGATGGTTGGCTGTAGAACCCTGTCCTGTGCATTCTGGATGTTTAGTGGCATCCCTAGCCACTAAGCACAAGATGCCAGTAGCAGCTTCCCTCCCTTCTTGGCAACCTGAAATGTACCTGATATTGTTACATGTCCCCTTGGGGATAACATTGCCCCTTCTCCAGATAGAGAACCATTGTCAGAGAAACAGAAGTCTCTGGAGACTCTATGAATACTTTCCTTTCAAGAAATGGTAACTTATCACCATAAGAAAACTAGATCTAGGGCTGGAGAGATGGCTCAGAGGTTAAGAGCACTGGCTGCTTTTCCAGAGGTTCTGAGTTCAATTCCCAGCAACCACATGGTGGCTCAAAACCATCTATAAGGAGCTCTGGTGCCCTCTTCCAGAGCACAGGCATATATGCAGGCAGAACACTGTATACATAATAAAATAAATAAATTTTTTTATAAAAAATAACACTAGATCTAGCTAGGTTTGTAATCCCAATAATGGTGGTAGTCGCCCCCCCCCCCCCCCCCCGTGGCACTGGAGAATTGAACCAAGGACCTTACACATGCTATGTGTAAAGTCTACCACTGAGCGTCTTCCCAGCTCGCTCTCTCTTTACCTCTCTCTCATTTTTGAGACAGGGTCCTTACCACTATGTTGTCCACTGGCCTCAACCATCCTTTGTAGTGAAGCCAGGCCTTGACATTTCCATCTTCACACTGAATCTGCTCCTGAGAAGCTGAGATCATAAACCTGCCCGTGGCAGTCCTGCTTAGGACTGTTTTCCACGGGTGGATGGAGTTTCAAGTAGCAAATGTCACATGGGGAAGTTATAGGGAAGTTGCACATCTCATACACATGCTCAGGACTCAGGCAGCCAAGTCCCGTGTCTGTCGTGTCTCAATCAACTAATTTCAGCCTGAGGCAGGTTTTGATGCTGGGTTCATATCTTTGGCCTATAGTTTTTGAAGTTTTCTTAGAAGCACCAGGCCAAGGCAACTGGTTCACATTGATTATACATTGAAACCTGTTCAGTAGTATGTCACAATTGTATGTTTAATCTGAAACATCAGTGTGACAACAGTTTGGATAGTTTTGCCATTAAAAACTATAGGCTAGGATTTGGCTGATGTTAGGAAATACTTTCTAAGTTGATTTGTCAAATTTTAAAACACTGCTAGCCCTTTTTTTTCCCCTATCACCCCAGTAAAGCGGGAAAATTGAGAAATTAAGGCTAGAGAGATAGTTGGCTAAGATCACTTAATGCTCCTGCAGAAGACCTAAATTCAGTTACCAGCACCTGTAATCAGATGGATCACAACTGCCTCTAACTCCAGGGGATATGATGTCCTTTCCTGGCCTCCACAGGCAGCTGTAGGCACATGCAAGCAAACACACATAATCGAAAATAAAAAAGTAAATCTTTTTAAAATTAACAAGAAAAGGCTGGATGTGGTGGTATACTCTTTTAATCCCAGCACTTAACAGGCAGAGGCAGGTGAATCTCTTTGAGTTGGAGGCCATCCTGATCTATATAGCAAGTTCTAGGCAAGCCAAGGCTACATAGTCAGATCCTGTCTCAAAAAAAGAAAGGAAAAAAAAAAAAAAGCAAGAAGAAAAAACTGCATTTACAGTCATTTCCTGTAAAGCCAGACAATGCTCAATTTTTTTTTTTTTTTCTTTTTCTATTGATTGATTGGTTGCTAGGGTCCCAAGCTGTCCTGGAAGTTATTATGATTCTTCTGCCTCAGCCTTACAAATGTTGGGATTACAGCTGAGAACCATTTAACTATACCTAGCACTTATTCATTTTATGGCTGTTTGTAGGACAAATGGGGGGGGGGTGCTAAAAAAGAAAACTTAAGGTGGGCAAGCTGTAAGTCTTGGCAGATGCCTGGAAGAAAAAATTGGAGAAAAGGAAGACAAGACCAAAAAGCAAAAACCTTTTTTTTTTTTTTTTTTTTTTTTTAAGTAGATGGAATGTGTTATTGGAGCAGTATAGAACAAGGTTAGTCATCCAACGCATGGTTAATCTGGCAGAGGAAAAGCAGTAGCAGCCATGTTTAAAGTTTGCGAAGATGAATAACAAAACCCAATACTGTGGAAAGCCACAGAATTGTTAGTTAAATGCTCGGTTTTTCTAAAAAGGAATCAATAAGTGCTCTTTAAGAATGGTAGAACTGGCAAAAATAGTGGCTAAGTGAGGTGGTACATGGCTTTAAACCCAGAACTTAGGAGGCAGAAGCCAGCCCTGTCTATACAGTAAGTTTCTGGTCAACCAGGGATACACAGTAAACCCTGTCTCCAAAAACAGTATACACAACAGAAGTACTAATAGATATGAAGATAATTCTGTTTCATAGAAGAATGGGGGGGGGGATGTAAAACTTTACCTGTAAGGTTAGGATTAAAGAAAATTACTTTTCCTTTTGAAGAGTCCCTGGGTTCAATTCTTAGCTCCCACATAGTGGCTTACAACCATTCCTGTTCCAGGAATCCAACAACCTTTTCTGGTCTCCATGGACACTAGGCATGCACATGGTACACAGACATACATGCAGGAAAACATACACATAAAATTTAAAATCTAAAAGAGAAAAGGTTTTGTGTCAGGTAGTGGGGGGGTGTGCCTTTGATCTCAGGAGGCAGAGGCAGAGGCAGAGGCAGGTGGGTCTCTGTGAAGCCAGCCTGGTCTACAAAGAGCATTCCAGCCGGGGCTATTCAGAGAAACCCTGTCTTAAGTTTTGTTGTTGAACTGGTTGGTGTGATGGCTGCTGTCTTCCATTTGTTGTTAGATGTGGGCGTTCTGAAGTCTAGGCTGGCTCATACTAGCTGAACTTGAGTTCCTGGCTCTTGGTCCCTCCTCCCAAACACTGGGATTGCTGCTGTTGCACCACTGTTCAGATAGTGCTGAGAAGGGAGCCAGGGCTTCGTGCATACTAAGCTCTATCTCCAGCGCCAAACACAGTCTTGGCTTTACAGGAAAATGTTCAACAGACTCTGCTTCAAGGTCTAGTAATTTCAACTAATGTTTTAAAATGAGTATGCATTTGTAGGAGTAAAATAAAACTTAAAATGCTTTTTTTTTTCTTTTTGTGTTGAAATGTTGGTTCTTTTTCTTGCAGCTCCTAAGACCACGGGAGAAAAAGCTGGGCCTCGGTAAGTAAGGTCTCCTGTTATCTGCTCTAATCATGTTTGCCACTCTGTTTTCCCAGTTTGGAAAAAGCCGCAAGTACAGTCAGCTGTGTTGCCCTTTAGAGCTCTTTATGACATCCTAGTAGTTTAACTTGGGTTGTTTGTATCAGTTGGGACCCACTCAGAGAAATAGAAAGTACTGTCATTCTGTTGGAGTAGGATCTTAGTAAAGGAAAAGGAATTGTTCAGAAGCCTGGTACAAAGCTGAGCCACTGAGAGAGGAACGACTGATCACTGTAGAGCTGGAGTGGCTCAGGAGGCTGGAAGGTTGAGTATGATGGGACCCAGAAACTTGTCTGTTCAGAGGGAACGGAATGGTGGAGAGGGGGAACATGGCTAAAGGTAGAGCTGTGGGAGGCCTGAGCTGATGCTGCTGGATGCCATGCAGAGAGGGTTACTTAGACGATCCCGGCTTCCTGGCTGTCATCACTCGTGCTTCTGGAACACAAGTGATGAGAGAACCCGGGAAATGGGGTTCCTTGTAATCTAGCCTAGATAAAGAAGATTCAGAGCCCGAGTCTGAAGGAGGATATCTTGGACCAGTATATAATAAGTCTAAAAGGTGATTGCTTCTAATAATGAAAAAGTTTCCACCTTAAACAGAACATTCTGAGTAGTGGTTCTTAATCTCCCTAATGATGTGTGCAACCCTTTGACACAGTTCCTTATGTTGTGGTGACCACCAGCCGTAAAGTTGTTTGTTTGTTTTGTGGTTTTTTGGCACTTCTTCATGACTGTAATTTTGCTACTGTTATGCTCATGATGTAAATACCAATAAGCAGGATATCTATATACGACTCCTGTGAAAGGGTCAATTGACTCCCAGAGAGGTCACGACCCTCATATTGAAAACCACTGTTCTAGAGTATTTCAAGTGAGTTGACTGATTATGAGACTTGAAATGCCATCGTTTTCTGAATTAAGGAAGGGGCCTTTTCTAGTACCTCCTTAGCTCCCAGATTGGGGCAGGGAGGGCTCACCTGTAATTCCAGCCCCAAAAGAAGGAGTGAGTCTAGCCATATCAGTGAGCTCTGAGTTTGGTTGAGAAGTTCTGCCTTAATTAATTAGGTGAAAGAAGGATTGAGCATGACTTCCAGCATCAACCTTGGACCTCCACATGCTCACACATTTATGCACAGGCATGAGTTCATACCTCAAACACATGGAAAAAGGAAAAAAGTTAGAATGAACTTGCTAGCAACATCAAATGCTTGAATTTCTGTGTTTACAGGATTCTTTGAGCTTGAAGTGATCTGGAAAATGTCACCCAAAAAAAGCCAAAGAGTTTTTGAGCAGTCGTTAAAAATGCTAGAGAGTCACTCATTCAAAGCCTTTAGGAAAGCTCAGGGCTCCAAATGAGGTGTTTGTGATTTTTTTTTTTATTAGTTACTCTTTATTTACTTTGTTATCCCCCCATAAACTCTTCCTTCCTCCCCTTCTAATCCCACCTTTCCTCCCCCTTCTTCACGCATGTCCCTTCCCAAGTCCACTGATAGGGGAGGTCCCCCTCTCCTTCCTTCTGATCTTAGTCTATCAAATCTCATGAGGAGTGGCTGCATTGTCATCTTCTGTGGCCTGGTAAGGCTGCTCCCTCCTCACGGGGAGGTGATCAAAGAGCAGGCCAATCCGTTTATGTCAGAGGCAGTCCTCTTCCCATTACTATGGAACCCACTTGGACACTACACTGCCATGGACTACATCTGTGCAGGGGTTCTAGGTTATCTCCATGCCTGGTACTTGGTTGGAGTATGAGTCTCTGGGAAGACCCCTGTGTTCAAATTTTCGGGTTCAGTTGCTCTCTTTGTGGAGTTCCTGTCCTCTCCAGATCTTTCCCACGTCTTTCATAAGATTGCATGCACGATGTTTTGTTTTTAAAACTTGGTTCTGCTTTCATTGATCCATAGTAACTGTCCACACTGTGACACTAGCCTTGGTGTACAATGTGCAAGCATCAGATCAAGGGACTAGGCATTTCTGTTAACCTCAAACACACCATTTCTCAGTGGCTGGAATGTTGGAAAGCTTTCTCTAGCCAGGTCTGGTGGTGCACACCTTTAATATCAGCACTCAGGAGATAAATAGATCTCGTTGAGTTTGAGACCAGCCTAGTCTACATAACAAATTTCAGGCTAGCCAGAGCTACATAGTGAAATGCTCAGCTGGTGTCAGGCATAATAGTTGATAGCTGGGCCTCTGGCCACATATGCTCTAGTAGGGCCTAGTGTACCTGGCAAATTACAATTCACCTTCAGACAGCATCTGTAGAACCTGACTTGGAGTGCAAGGAAGAACAAGAGGAAAACTGGTTGGGAAATAAAACTCGGATCAGAAGGTAATGCCTGGGGCAACGTGAAGGTAGAGGTAGTATTAGGTTGAGAGATGGTTGGGATATAGAGCCTCATAGGCACAGGTGGGGAGTTACCTACAGAGGCAGAACTCAGCTTTTCCTGAGCATGATTGGCATAGTCAGACACCTGTGCCATTTCCTGAGCCGTGGCCTGGGAACTGGGAGAGTGATCATTAGGAGATACATTTGTGGTTTCTGAAAAGGATAAGTGAAGATGGCAGTGGCTAGGAAGGTGGTGTGTAAATAGGGAGCTCTGAGAAACCTGGCCTCCTCTGTCTCAGGAAGATGCTAGCACTAGAAGGTTTGGTGTTTTTGCTAAAGGACCAGGGAACATTAAGCATATAGTGATTTTTATATGATCTGAGACTTTGGAAGCTTGGCATGATGCTTCTTAACTGTTAGAGGCTGTGGGGAAGACTCCTCATGGGTTCAAGGTCAGCCTGAGCTACAGAGTGAAACTTTGTCTTAACCTCTCCTTCCCCCCAGGAAAAGAAAAAGAAACATCTCTTTAGTAATTTTAAATAGAAGGATGGGGCTTTGTTTGTTTGTTTTTATTGGCATCAGAATGGAGGATGAGTGGCCAGCTTCCTTCTTGACTGTGTTTATAATACAAGTGGACGGACTGTGCTACTGTGTATAGAGAGTTACCAGTTGGTCAGGGTCACTTTTAGAGGACACATGTGTTTAGGATGCTAAGTGATGTCTTTCCCTATTTTAAATGCACCCAAATGCATTTTGGGTAGAGTTTTGTTATTGTTGTTTTTCAAACTTTAAGTGTGTTTTTTGCCTATATTTGTGTCAGTGTGCCATGTACATGAAGTGCCTGTAGAAGCCAGAAGGAGGCAGCAGAGAGCATGACGCTGGTGTTGCAGTGGTTCTGAACTGCCATGTCAGTTCTGGAAATAGACCCTGGGGCCGCATAAGAGCGCTGAGCCCAGCTCTCCAGCTCCTTCTGGTGATTTTTGTTAATGAGTCTAAATACTTTAAATTTTAGGAACTGCCTATATTCATGGGATAAAACATGCCACAGGAAACTATGTCATCATTATGGATGCTGATCTCTCACACCATGTAAGTGCCTCCCCACTCTCTTCCTTTCTGCATTGGGATGGTCTTACTGTGTAGTCTAGACTGCTCTGAAGAATGTGGAGCCCCCGCTTTAGCCTTTTGATTGTGAAGATTAACAGGCATGTGCCACGTCATTCAGTTGATCTTTCCTGATTAGGTGTTCATGATAAACTTGTCATATGTTGCTGACTTTCTGTTGATTTTCTTCCAAATTTCAGCCCAAATTTATTCCTGAATTTATCAGGTAGGTACTGTTTCTAATATTTTTCATATTAGAAATTTAAAATTCAGATTGTTAATTTAAAGTAGATGTGCTACTTTTAACTTTTCTGTCAAAATTTAACAGACTCATAAGTATAGGTCTGTAACTAAATGACTTATTTTAGGAGCCCTTAGGAACCTTCAATAGATGTTTCTATTCTCTTCTTTCAAAACCAAAAAAGATGAAGTCCTTGTTGTCTAGAATTGGGCTTGACATGTTAGAATCAAAGACCATAGACAAAGGGTTTTGTCCAGGGGTGCCTGGCTTCTAGGCTACATGACTCCACTGTGTATTCCCTCAGTCCTTTGTCAGACAAAATGAGTCAGGTGGTGGTGGTGGTGGCACAAGCCTTTAGTCCCACCCAGCTTGGGAAGCAGAGGCAGGTGGATCTATGAATTCAAGGCCAGCCAGGTCTACAGAGTGAGTTCGCAAATAGCCAGGGCTACACAGAGAGCAGTGGCTGCTGCTTGACAAGGCAGTGAGGGATTACGCTGGAGTCCTGATACCTAGAAGCCAGCCGCCCTCCAACCACGCCGTTTGTCTGTGCCTTTAATCCCAGCACTATGGAGACAGAGGCAAAATTACCTTTGTGAGTTCAGAGCACCCATGTGGCATCTCACTACCAATCTATATCTTCAGTTCCAGGAGGTCCAACACCTCCTGCCCTTTGAGGGTACGGCCTATACATGCTATACTGACATGCACGCAGGCAGAACATCCATACACATAAAATGTTTTAAAAACTTAAATAAAACACAAGATCAGTGTCAGGTTTGAAAGACTTATTTGAACAGTCCAGTAACCTGTTTGGCTTCATGCTTTGCCTCTGCTTCCCTTAAAACTTGATTCTGTGGTGGTTTATGAAGATGCCTGATAAAAGCCCAAGAGCTTTTTCTAATTAAGTTACTTTTTTTTTTCCACAGGAAACAAAAGGAGGGTAATTTTGATATTGTCTCCGGAACTCGCTACAAGGGAAATGGGGGTGTTTATGGCTGGGATTTGAAAAGAAAACTGATCAGGTATGTGTACATGTTTTGTGATTTCTCTACAGGGGAACTACTAGATAAACTTAATGCTAGGATTGCATTACCACAGCAGGGCCTTAAAGTTTGTAGGATCAGGGTATAACTTCCCATAAAGCTTCCTAGAGAGCATCTTACCTACAAGTTGTCATTTGCCAAGAGTTTTACCTTAGCTGTTTGGGAGAAAATGAATACAAATATTAGAACCCTCGATAGCATTGGTCTGCATCAATCAGAGTGACTGTTTTGATTATGGTTTTATATAATCATTTTAATAAGGTACTTTATTACTGTAGCTTTGAAGTCAGACAGACCTTGGTTTCTCATTATTGTGTTACCTTATATATTTACCTTTCCAGAGCTTTTCTTTGCTCTTATTAAAACCAGCATTCTAGATTTCTGATATTGTCTGACAAGATAGGTGGGAGTCCATGGACTGACTGGCAGCTGCTCCACTGCCTTCACCTGGAGTTAGTCTTGCTGCTGCAGCTTGCTTCCTTCTGCACAGCATTGGCCATGCTAGCAGGTCACACACCAGGCAGTTAGTGCTGGTAGTTGGCTGGGCATCTCAGTTCTGGTGGCTTCTCATCAGACAGGTAGAGAGAGTAGTTGCCTTTATTTTTTTATTTTATTTTGATGAGTGTGTGTGTGCGCGTGCGCAGGCACGCGCAGCAGAGACAGAGACAAGGGAGAGAAGAAGGTGGAGTGCTCACCTCAGGTGTTGTGTAGGTATTAGTCCTCAGGCAATTGCACTTGTATTTTGAGGTAGGATTTCTCAGTTTTTATAACTTGCTAATGAGGCTAGGCTGGCTAGTCACCACGGTACACTACCATGCCTGGCTTTTCAGTGAGGATTTTAAGGATCCCACTTGCGTCTTCATGTATTCGAGGCAAGCACACTTTACTACCTGAGCTATTTCTCCAGCCTCTTCACATGGAGTCTTTTTAAAGAAACAAAGGTAGAAACCACCATCCTCCACGTGTGGGCCCCATTAGAACGGTGTTTTCCATGAACAAAGAGTAGAGGAATAGTCTGGCACTCGGTGTAAAGACCCATAAAGAAAATGGGATACAGTCCACCCCACTCAGTGTCAGGGTGATGGGAAGGAGGGATTCGCACCTACCAGTAATGCTGCACGTTACGTTTGCCTCAGCTGTGGAATCTTGGATAGTCATTTAAAGCATTAAATCTTCTGTTAAATAAGTAATACAATAAGTAGTGTTTTTTAGTCCTACTAAAACACAGGACTCTCGTGAGGGGAGAATACACAGCAACTCCTGCCCCTTCTCATACCCATTGCAACCCATGTGACTGAGGCTCTCCAGAGGTTGGAGGCAGACTCAGCTGATACTGAAAACAAGTTATTAACCTCCAAAGAAAGGCATTTTGAACTTGGCCATTCATTCACCTGTTAATTAAAATTAGAGAGTTGTAATCATGAGCACATTCTGATCTTTCAGTTACAGCATTTGGATCTGGTTTTGTCTACTGACAGTAGTGACTGCACTATGTAGGCTTTAGGTCCCAGTGTGGCCCATAACTGGAACTGAAGCCCAGACTGAGTGACTCGTACCACACTTTAATCAAAACACTATAATTTGAGGTCAGTTTGAACCACATAAGGAGTTGACGCCATCTATCCAATTAAAAATCCATCATCACTGGCAGTGTAGCACATACTTAAGAGGCTAAAGCAGGAGGATGACTTACACACAGGCTTTTGGGATCGACTTGGGTAGTATTACAAGATTCTATCTTAAATAAATAAAATAACATGAAACAATATATTGGGGCTGAGGATGATGTAGGAAGCCTTGGGTTCTCTTCCTAGCACATCTACACTGCCTAGATGTCATAACCCACTCTAAAAGCTAGGATGATTAAGACGTTCTCTCAAACAAAGCAAAAATGCTCAAATCAAAGATGATCTTACACATGACTACAGACACGGACACTACTGTCTTCGTTACTATGCTGTTGCTATGAAGAGACACCATGACCATAGCAAATTATAAAAGAAAGCATTTAACTGAGGGCTTGCTCTCCATGATTGTCATGGCCGGAAGCATGGCAACAGGCAGACAGGCATAGTGCTGAGGGAGCCACTAGCTATGAACTTCCATCCTGATCAAGTTGGAGTCAGAGAGCAAGGCTTGGCTTGGCATGAGCTTTTGAAACCTCAAAGCCCACCACCCCTAGTGACACTTTTCTCCAACAAGGCCTCACCTCTTAATCCTTCCTAAACAGTTCTATCAACTGGAAACCTAGTTTTGAAATACATATAAGTCTATGGGGTCATTCTCATTTAGATTACCACAAAGACAGGATATATGTTTTTTAAAGCAAATGTTTTAGAGGGGGTACTATATCTTGAAATAGTCTCACAGCTTTTAGATATTACTAAAGATTGGGGAAGTGTTGTTAGTCATCATCCCAGTTGCAGTCTCTAACCATGTGGTTTTGGTGTTTTGTTGTTGTTGATGTTGTTTTTTAATGATCTTCATTAAGGAAGCCTTGGTTTAGGGTTTGGTTTGATTTGATTTTTTTGAGTAGGGCTTCTCTGTGTAGCCGTGGTTGTTCTGGAACTTGCTCTGGACCAAGCTCTGCCGCCCAAGTGCTGGGATTAAAGGCCTGTGCTGCTGCTGCTCAAGCGGTTTTGGTCTTAGAACCAGAGTTACTAAAATGGCTGCCATGCAAAAAAGTCATTTTCTTCAGGCCTCTGAAACTCTTTGAAATGTTAATGTAAAGATCTCTAATAGCTGGTGACTGATAATTGTATTGGATTCTGTTAATCTAGAGCCATTGTTATGGACTGAATGTTTGTGCTTCACAAATGCCTATGTTAAATGAGAACCCCTAGTGTTTTGGAGTCTTTTTCTTTGGGAGGTGGTTAGTTTGGAAGATAATGGGGTGAGCTCTCTGATGGGATTAGCATCCTTTTAAGAGATCAGAGGGTCACCACTCCACCCCCATTCTCACTTGTCCCACACCTTCTTCCCCTTCTTTAAAACCAGGAGAATACATTTCCAGTTTACACCAATGTAGGTGGTATTTTGTTACAGTAGCCAAGCAGACTCAGTCCCCAAACACCATCAGAAGCACTCCCCTGCTTTCATGCTGCTGTTTTTCTTCAGTTGGCTTCCTGGCTGCCCAAGTGTTTGTGATCCTCCTGCTTCAGCCTCCTGAGTGCTAGCTATCTGCCATTATAGACTTGTACCAACGTGCTAGGTGTAAAACCAGTCTCTGTTTGCTGAAATCTGAAAAAGAAACTTAACAAATCCCTTGTCTTTCTGCCAAAAAATGTATAGGTTTAAATGACTGACTTTTCTTCTTAGCTAAAGTAGGCTTGGGGTGTGTGGGTGCATGAGTGTGTGTGTGCTTCGCATGCAGCCAAGCAATCTCGACACGCCTAGTCTCTGCAGTGCTGGGGATGGAACCCAGGCCTATGAACATGCTGTGGCCTGGCCCTTGTTTATTATCAACATGTGGCAGGATGGAGACTTTTTGGGCTCTTCTCTATTTCACTTGTGAAGGGTAAAAATTGCCTATATTCTGAGACGTGTCAGGTCTCATTCACTGTCTTGTTTGTTCTAGAGAATTATCATTGTGTGTGTGAAATTAGTATCACATTTATTAATTACTAGTATTTTTAACATTGTGTTCTTGGGTGTGTTTCTCTTGCTTTTAAAATATATTTAATTTAATAAGGAAAATCTGATTAATTTGGCAGCCGTGGGGCCAATTTTATAACTCAGATTTTGCTGAGACCAGGAGCATCGGACTTAACAGGAAGCTTCAGGTACCGTGATTCTACATCCTGAACTTTTTCCTGGATTCTTGTGTTAAGAGGCTATTGAAGGAGCTGCTTTCCCAGCAGGGCATGCTAATTTGAGCACTCAGGAGGCAGAGACAGGAGGATCTCCGAGCTTGAGGCCAGCTTGGTCTACATAGTAAGTTGCAGGACAGCGAGGGTTACATAGAGTGACGCTGTCTCAGAATCCCCCAAAAGAGAGCTACTTTTCTTCCATACTGACATAAGTCACACTTCCACAGTGATGATCGGCAGGCTGAAGTTCCCAAGAACCTTGTTAAAGGATGTTAGACTGTTGCTTTCCAAGTGAAATGCAAGGTTTTGGCATGCTTGTTCAGTTCAGTGCTGGGCTTGACTGCCCATTGGGGAACATGGCTGCTGCTGTACTCTGGATAGCACATGCATATCCCAGCTGCAGCATCCTCCTTACTATTTCCACTTTTCAGTGACCTTCTCACTATAAATGAGTCTGTGCTGTTGGTTTTACCCACATTTAAAAAGCTAAAAGCTACAGGAGGCTCAGTGGAAGACTGGAGCAAGAGTTGGGTTCTAGATAACTCCTTTGGCATAATAGGTCCATTGGTCTTGAGACTATAGCTATGCCAAATTCCCACTTCTAGCTTACAGATGTACATACACATAATAAAAACAGCTAGGTCACGGGGTAAAGATGCATTCTATAAAAGCCTAACAACCTGAGTTTTATCCCTGGAGCCCATGATACAAGGAGAGAAAATCATTCCTGACCTCAACACACACATGCAAGAAGGGGGAGGCAGGCATAGACATAGGCTAATAAACTTTAAATTAAAAAAAAATTGTAATCTCCCTAGTTTTTTGCATTAAATTTTAATATTAAAATATATATATATGGAATACTTCCTGAATTTGCCTGTTATATTTGTGCAGGGGCCATGCTAATCCTGTCTGTATTGTTCCAGTTTCAGTATATGAGCTGCCAAAGCCAGCAGCCTGCCTACTGATTTAAATAAATAAAGCCCCTTCTGAAAACTGACACCTCCTGCTTCTTGGGGTTTCTGAACATCTTACCTTATAAACGGAGTGAGCCATGTGCTTGACTGGCGAGGTGTGCTTAATAATGTAGAGCTGCCTACCACAAGTACCTGTGACCCTGGTTGTTCATAGAAGTCTAAAGGAGGGCCTCCATCCTGTGATGGCTAGTCTTGGTCTGACCTAGCTTGTCCACAGTCTTAACAGCTTTTCCTGGAATGACCTGATTGTCCTTAGGATCATGCCCCATGTTGTCAAGCAGCAGATGACTTACTAACTGCTGTGCTGCTCATCACCATGCTGCATGTCATCATCTGTTAGTTCTGCCATTCCAGCATATCCAGTTCAAAGGTGAATTCAAAACCAAAAGTATGGGTGCTTATGTGAACTTCTTATAATATAAATCTCAAGAAGATACTAAGAACCCATTTTCAAAATTATTCCAAACTCTTAGTGTATACTTCATGGCCTAGACACATGATCAAGCTCTGAGAACTTGTCTGTATACCAGTGGCTATGAGAGTTTTAGATTATAGACACTGGTGAGTTCTCAAAGTTCAGGGTATGTGTAGACAGGCATGTATCCAGATGCTCATAAATACTCTTGTTTTCCTACAGGTTATACCGAAAAGAAGTTCTACAGAAATTAATAGAAAAATGTGTCTCCAAAGGCTATGTCTTTCAGATGGAGATGATTGTTCGAGCAAGACAGTTGAATTACACCATTGGTGAGGTGAGCAACTGTTGGTTGCTAAGTCCTGTGTTCTACTACCCAGAAAAGGAGGTTTACAAAAGCACAGCTTTCCTAACTGCCGAGTTTGCAGTGTCTTAGGCTGGCAGTTTGTGGGTTGTAGGTGTGTGAAGGTTGGTGACGCCTATAATCCTCGCACTTGAGAGGTGAAGGAAAGAGGACCAGGAAGAAGACTAGCCTTGACTACAGAGTAAGCTGCAAGTCAGCCTGGGCTATATGATACCCAGACTCTGTTCACTAGATGTGATGATATAGTAAACCTACAACACTAAAAGATGAACATTCAGATGAGTGTGTTTGGCCTACTGTGATTTATTCTGAGCCACGTTTCCTTTTAAATAATGACGCTTCTGGCACCTCAGACTTCTAACGAGTACCTGGCTACTTTTCTTCTTCGTAAATGTTCCGGGGTTACAGAACCTAGGCTAGAGGCAGGGTTTGTCTCTCAGGCTGCGTGTGAGTTATTAGAGACCACCCCACATCTAAATACCAAAAGCTTTCTCATTGCAAGAAAATACCCACCTCCCGGAATGCCCCTTATGACCATTAGAAAGGTTTGTAATTTAACTCCACTGTAACATTAACTGTAACAAATTGGAGAAAAAAGTGAAAAATCATTTTATTGGAAATACAACCTGAAATTTGAACATACTAACATAATGTTAAGGGTTGGTGCTTTTCATCCTGTAGATTTGATTCAGATGACTTACTTTGAGATAATAAATAAACAGTTACGGTAAGAACTGTGATTGTCAGCCTGGTGCTGCAGGTTGAGGCTTTGCTCTTGTATTGGAAATGCTGTAGCCTGAGCTTGCCTCCTTTGTTGTCATCGTTTGAAGACTGACTTTCATGTACGTGTCTTTTTTTTAACCAGGTTCCAATATCATTTGTGGATCGAGTTTATGGTGAATCCAAGTTGGGAGGAAATGAAATAGTCTCTTTCCTGAAAGGATTATTGACTCTCTTTGCTACTACATAAAAGAAATTAATCATTTATACTTAACCCTGTTCATTTCAATTAAAAGTAAGAGAAGCCTGGGTCACTGATTTTTATCAATGTTCTTTTAACACATGAGCCAAACAAAGGTAAGGTGCATTTTATACAGATCTTTTCTCTGGAGAAACTCCATTTTTTATTTCAAATTAAAATTTAAAGTTCTTGGTTTAATGAGCAATGTCCTCAATTTTCATGTACATTGTACTGTATTAATATCTATAAATAAATGTATCTAGGTTTTGCATAAAGTGTTGCTGCTGTTGTTAGATATGTGAGTGTGGCGTTTTTATGAGAAAGAATATGAAATATCCATAAAACTAGCCAGTTAGTTCTTTATACCTACATGTTGAAGGAAACATTGATTCTCTTCACTAAATACACTTCATGTATGAAAAGAAATAAAATCTCTGACCTTGAAGTTCAGCTCAGGCTTCTGAACCTAGATAAGGCAGTGCTCACTGCACTCAGACTTAGAGAGCTGGCCTGAGGATAGTGCTCGTCTGGTTACAGCCAGGCATGCTTGGTGGCGTGGAAAACAGTGTGGTGGTGGTTGACACATAGCTGTTGTGTTGTTTTGTTTTTTCCTTTTGAGCAATAGCTTCTGTTGGAAAGAAAAGTATTTTGTCTTGTTTTATCTCACAATAACTTTCTACATTATTTCAAACTTGTCACCATGACAAAAATTTTATACTATTTTTCTCCATCTAGAGAAATGTTCTACTTCTTAAAATGAAGGATAAGCTGCTTCATGCAGCCAGGGCAAATACTCTATTTACCGACCTTCTCTAACTCTCAAAAGTCAGTGGTCAGTGAATTTCTATCTGTAGCATAGTTTTCAAACATGTAGTATGTTTTTGAGATCTAGTTGCCTGTCCTTCACAAGAGAAAAGAAGAGGCCTCTGCCTCTAAGTTACTATATCATCACATCTAGTGAACAGAGTCTGGGTATCATATAGCCCAGGCTGACTTGCAGCTTATTCTGTAGTCAAGGCTAGTCTTCTTCCTGGTCCTCTTTCCTTCACCTCTCAATTGCGAGGATTATAGGCGTCACCAACTTCACACACCTACAACCTGTGTACTTGCTTTCCTGCCTTCCTTTGGCTGCTAAAGAAATTGAAAGTCGTAAAGTTTTGTTTCCATCTTTCTGGCTGATTGTAACAAGAGTGAACATTAGATAAAATCTTCACCTATTTTTGAGCATTAAAGCCTTGCTGAAGCTATACAGTACACGTTCCAATAAGGGCACTATTGTTTTCCCCTTTGCCAAAACCTGTAGAGCATCCATGGGGAAGTGAAAATTTATTAGTGTCCAATTAAAATTTGTTCTAATCCAAAATCATAGGATTATAATATTCTCAAATTGTTTTTGAGTGCTGAAAAATATGTTCCCTTGAAACCCAGCATTAAGTTTTCAATGTCAAGTATGTGGAGCAGCGGTTAAGTAGCCACATTGAGAGAAGTCACTGTAGACACAGCATTCTGCCTTACATCTCACTGGGGCAAAGATCTGTGGTCTTTTTCATCTTCTTATGCTTTGGTGCTTAGCCAGGGTACAGCCCTTGTCACTTCTAGAGTTTCACTAGGCGTGTTTGAGCAGTGAGCACCACCATTCAGAAGTCATTTAGAGAAGAATTGTTGCACAATTTTGAGCTGCATTTTTGTTCTGCATCTGGTGACATGAACATGCGTTTCTTTTTTTTTTTTTTTTTAACTTCATCTGAATCCAGCACCTTTTGTGCTTCAAAGAGAAGGCAGTGATGACATCCAGATGTTCTCCATGCTTGTGTTAACACTGAAATCTGAGTGACTAAAGCAAACTAGAGAATGAACTTACTTGGCCTGTTTCATATTCCTCTTGCCTGTCTTCTGCATTCTGTAAATTCCTAATCTCTAGTCCTTTGATAAAAGGCTTTGTCCCAGGCCCTCCCCGCCTTATTCCTTCCTTCTAAACACCATCTATCCCTTGTTTTCCATTGAGGTATTGATGAGATGTTGATTAGACGTTTAAGTATACATTGTAATAATTGCAAAAAGAATAGTGTCATAATGAAGGTTTATTTAACTTCCTAACCAAACTGTAGACATTAAGCTCTATATAGTTTGTCAGATTCTTTCAAACTTGTAACTTTAAAAAGTGTAGCAGCCACTAATTGGGGGAAAGTGGGTGTGGCCAAGCCTTCACAACTGCACTTGCTGCTTTCCAGAGCATTTAGCCATCCATATACTCTAGGGTAACGACTGTTCGTTTAAAGTGGACCCAAGGGTGTTGATGTTGACGTGGTGTGTTGGTTGGGGCTGATCCAAACTTACAAAGTCAACAGAGCATGTGCTGTCACGTGTCCGAATTGTGAGAACACTAGGACTACAGAGGGTGAGTGCCAGAACTTTTCATCCTTAGGCATTGCCAATCCCACTCCTTTTATTCTAAGTCAAGGAGAAGTGGCCCTCTGATGACTTGTCCATCTATTATTCCACACCAATCCACTGGAAGAGCTGACATGGCGCGAGAGCTATGTCAAGAGAATGTGTGAAGCACGAGGGCATCACACCTCATTTAAGGCAGGAGGCATCAGGCTCAACCCTTCGCCTTGCCTCCCAGCCTGTGAGAGCACGCTCTATGAGCACGTGGGGCTTCGGGGCAGTTCGCTCACCCTCCTGCCAGATGTAGTCCAGGCCCAGATGGGCCCGCGCAGGGATCCCCAGCACAGCCACCTGACTGATTGTCGAGGCGTGCTGCGGCCCGCTGCTTCTGCCTCCGCCGGCGGCGCTGCGGCCGAAGGAAGGCACCCGGGAGCGCACTGCGGCCATTATCCACGGCGCCTCCTAGTGGGTCAATGGCAAATCCTCCAAGTTCTCGCGAGAGCTCCCCTCAGTGGGGATTATATAATCTTCCCTAGGCGAGGCTGGGGGGGCTGAGGGCACCCTCTTATAAGAAAAGTAGGAGTCGGAGCAGCTGAGGGGCAGATATCACTCCCTGGGGAGTCGCCGGGCAGGGGGTACTGTCCCCCATGTCCCCCCCCCCCCCCGCTTAACTGGACAATGAGTCCTCTTATGCTAATGAGCCGCTTACGTCACTTCCGCTCTTTCTCGGCCGCCATTTTGGCTAGGGCAGGTTCGGGGACTTGCTCCGAGGCGCTTGTATTGTCTGCCGAGGGGAGACGCGGGACCAACCCCCTCCCCCCGCCCGCCTCAGCCGCTGCCGCCGCCGCCAGCCCGGTCTACCCGCCGCCGCCGGGACCCATGAGCTGAGCGCCCGCCCCCCGCCCGCCGCCATCTTGGCCCCCTCCCCCTCCGCGCCGCGCTCGGGGGGATTTGGCGTCTCCTCAGACACAGCTCCCTCTCTCGGTCCCCGCAGCCGAGGAGCCGCGCGGCTGTCGCCGCCCGCCCGCAACGGTGAAGCCGCGGCCCCACGCCCTCCGCCGCCCTCCGCCCCTCCTTTGTCTGCACTGCCCGCGCCGCCGCCCGCCGCTCTGCAGCGCCCGCCGCGCCCCCCGGCAGCAGCCGCGATCGCGGCTCGAGCCGGAGCCCGAGCGCGACGAGGCCCCGGGCGCGTCCTCGCCGCCATCGCCGTGCCGCCGTCCGCCCGCCGCCGGGCCCCGCAGCACGCCGGCCCCGCGCACGCCTCGAGGCCGAGCCAAGGTAAGCCCGCGGCTCTGCCCTGCCCGGGCCCGGGCGCGGTCATTGTGCTCCGCGCTCACACACTGCCTGGAGCGGCCGCTGCCCTCCTGCAGCCCGACCCCCTTCTCCGCCCCGCGAGGCCGCCGGCCACCCAGGGCTTTTGCGGCTGGTGGCATCTTCCCGCACCCACCCCGCCCCCAGCAGAGCCCCGCTCTCTCATCCCCAGAACTAATTCCCTCCCGCCCTTTCCCCCCCTCCCCACGCACGCCCCCAGTCCCTGGAACCAGCCTTCTTGCCAGGTCTGCCCACCCTAGACTTGGGGGGAAGGGGAAAGGCCTGGGGGGCGGGGAGCATGCATGGCACGGAGTGAAAGTCTTTGCCTCCCCAACAACATGCCAGCTTCCCTCCCATCCTAACCACGACAGTCCTTCAACCAGCCCTCCTCTCAGCCTCGGCTGCCTGGTCAGCACTACCTCTTCAGAGCTTTGTGATCCCCAACTTTGCAGTCAGAAATGGAAATCCAGAAAACCGCGAAAAGGTGTTTTTTTTCGAATGCAATGAATGGGGAGTAGTTCTTTGAGCACCCTCTTATTCACCTCTTCTTTCCTCTGGGCCGCCTGTCCTTTTCCTCCCCCACCCCAACCTGGATGCCTGTCTGCTAGAAAAGGCGCGATTGCTTCTCTTCCTCTTCTGTCCAAAATCGGGCTCTGAAGTCTAATACCCATTTTAGCCTCACTCCCTGCCACACACCCCAAGTGTCTTCTCAGTGTTCTTGCAGTCAGCAGTTCCTCTGGACAGTTCTTGTCATAACCCCATTTCACAGACAAAGGCTTAGGAGGGAAAAAGAACCAAACTGTTTCCTGTGTTGGCCATTTTAATGCTGTCCAGCCCCAAACGCCCAGTTCCCATCCCTGATGCTTCTTGTGCCTATGTCTTGAACCTTGACGATGGGGTGAGGGGGGATCGTCTCTTGGATAGCTTTGTGCAATTTCTTTATAAATCTGCATTGTTGGTTCTGGTTTATGGCCATGAAGAAAATACCAGCCCCCACCCAAAATGCACCGCAGCCAAGTCGGTTAAAGGCAATGAGTGTTGGAGTCAGTAGGGGGCGCATTCTCTGCACTGGGTAAGGCTGCAGAGGGGGAAGGGCCCCAGAACTAGAACAGGATGTGCTTAACAGCGCCTTCTACAGACCATGTGAAAATGGGCCCAGCAAGACTTGCACTTGGTGAGCTGACAGCAACATGGCGAAGGATTAAGTGAGTCTAGAGAGATTTTAAGAGAGTCACTTCTGTTTGGAACGTTGTCTGTTTCACTTTTTTCAAAAGTAGTCACCCTCAGACTTTGATTGCTGATCAGTCACCTTGGTCCACATCCTTGGGTCATAGTTCCCTTTCTCAAGAACCCTTTCACCTTAAGGTTTGATTGTATTGACATCTCTTTCCTAGGCCAGGCGATAAAGGGGGTTGTTTAAAACCTGAAAGTAATGGGCTTGGGGTATGACTGGTCAGTCCAAATCTGTCTAACTCTTTTGAGAGTGAAAAGTCATTCTT